TTTGCCGTAGCCTTTTACCCTTCGAATCTCCCTACCTTCCAAGATCTGTACAAGCATCAGTCAAACATCTTTAGTTAATGAATTTATTTCATGGTAGTAGATGCAGTGCAGGAGGTGTCCCAACAACCGTTTGAAGTAGATCAGGTGGTTGCCACTATTGGTCACGTTGCTAAGCAAAAAACTGCAGCCAACTGTCGACTGGCGGCAAGGTTGTTCACGTCCTGGATACAATTAGATATTGTTGCAGGTCACACCTTTATACCACTAGATCAGGTGGTTGCCACTATCAATCTGATGTGTAAAAGGAGGTGCATCAAAGTCATTTTAATCAAATCGGATGGAACATTAATACGTCGGGAAAGTAGCTCTGTATCCTTTAATTATAAGCTTTAGATAATTTTTAGGCATATAATTTCTCTCCAAGTACTTCATGTTAGGTCAACTACTTTAATGCTGAGTTCTTCGATTGATTTTATAACTTGAACAGAAAATTGTCGAGATGCATTGGGCAATCTGGCATAGTTGGAAAAGGTAATATTGACTTAGTTATAGTTGGAAACCTATTAGGCTATCAGTATATGTTCAGTTATGCTCTCATGTTGGGTATATACATATTTCAGTCAAATATAATAAAATCAATAAATAGTTACATAGTTGTAGTAGGCCGCTCATGGTGCATAGATTTGAGTTCATGAATATCATTGACCTGCTAATTAATATTATCGTTATCTTTGAAGCTACTGCTTCTCATATGTTGGACTTCGTGATTTTAGTCCACCCAAAAAGAAGTTTGCCTTACAGTAATTTTTTGACTCTCAGTTCTGCTGATATTCTTTTGATTTGAAATATTTATATTTACCAATAATGAACTTTAAAAGGAAATTTATAGGTGTACAAGTCAACGGACAGAACAATGGCACTATTATATGTGCAATAAGAATACATATGTGCTGAGTACGATCATAAGCTCGAGTTGCTACTGTCCGCGTACCTTGGGCTCAACAACTATCCATCTCCATGTCCTCTTATTTGCTGCCGTAGGTGTTTCCAGTCTGCTACACACCCAAGGCCCAGACCACCAACTACATGATGGATGATGTTGCATCGATTATGTACAGCAGGGTCTGCGCTCTCTTGTTCGTGCTGCTTTGGCTCGCACTGGATCGATCATCACATGTACTTCCATATAGTTGCAAACAATGGTTCAGTACGACCACTGCCTTCCTGCTTTAGCTTATCTATCCACTTTGCATAGGATGGCACCTAATAGCAAATATGAGGTAAATTCTAACAGATGTGGACTAAATAGTTTAGTATTTCATAAAAATTGTATGGCATTTATAACTTGACCCTTCTGCTTTGATATTTGGTTTCCAGTTAGATGTTTTCAATTAGTGATATCATTGGAGGTGGGCTTTAATTTTGACATTTGGCTGCAGGAGGATCAAATATTTGGGATAATAATTCTAAAGAAGATCTAAAATATCCAGTTGTAAAGTGGGCATCTTGATTTTTCCTTTCATAATACTGTTATGCCTCTCTTCTTTCCTTCCGTCCTAGAATTGTTTTCTTCTACTAAATGATGCATGTGTTCAGTCTGTAATTTCTACTGCTTAAAGTATGCAGCTATATATTTTATTCCTATTAACTCAGTTTTATATACTGTGTGGCCTTCTAATTTAGGTATTCTCAACCTGCTGTAATATATCTTGGTCTATACTTAAGTATATGTTTCTGCTAACACATATGATAGCTATATTGCCTGCAACATTCAATGTACATGCTCAAATATAGTCAAATATTGCAATGACATATTGCGCTCATTGTCAAATTTGTTGCACGACCCGGTTAACATATCATCTTTGTTAGTTATTTCGTTATATTTGACTAAGAAACAACTTTATTATACATTTGATACGTAACTCATATTACACTTTAAGTTCCGTTCCAAGAGACATCTGAATAAATGATATTGATAATGCTCATATCTCTTAATAACTCATGGTCAAATTCATGTAAGAGACTTCACAAAATTGAGGCCTCACAGGAACTGGATAACTTTGGAAGAGAAAATAAATACATGATTGCCATGTCATATGTTATGTTCATAAAGATCTCAACAAATAAGATGTTTGAATTTTTACCAATGGATGACTCAGAAGACACATTTGGAGACGAATTGAGAAAGGGAGTGAGGCAATGCGCCACAATTGCGATAATGTTTACTTCCTAATTTAACTGTGATCTGCTTCACACATTTAGCTTATAAATTAATCAAATTTACACAAGTTCAGAGCATTCAAGCTTTATTAATTTTAATTGTTGTACTGATATATGAAGACAAAAAAGAAAACTACTTAAAAAATGGAAACAAAATTGGTGGAGACGACTCTATTCAAACTATCAATTTGCAAATTCTAATAGTGGCTTCAAGTATTTTGGGTTGACGACTAGTGCACATAATCAAATTTGTTATATTATTGTGTGTACCTACCAAAGCATAAAATAGGTTGACAAACTTTTGATATACAGATGTGATGGCATTCTGTTCATTGATAATGGAAAGTTGAAGTGCCCCTCAAAAGGATGAATGCTTACCAATATGTAAAAGGTGCCTTAGGATGCAATAGGACACTAGCATTCACCATAGGGAGACAGAGTAAATACACCACCAACACTTGCACTTTTGTGAATAACGTTGTCCATATTTTCTCTCCCTTTACATATACCACTTCATCATGTTGATTCATCCGCACTTCTAACCAGTGATTCTCTTGTCTGGCACATGTATGAGCACATAAGATAGGTAGCAACCACATAGACAGAGGAGACCATAATAAAGAACCAGATAAATATGTATGGAAATTAGCAAACAACCATGGTGAGATATGAAGCCATTCAAATGGTTAGGTTCCCAACATGTTCGATGATACATTTCTGCTAGTACTAGTGCTAATGGACTAGCCACATACAAAGTAGCCTCAATGAGTCCCTCATGACACAGTTGATTATCTGGTAGGAAAGAACAATTCAGTAGCACCATGATGACAATGTCGGTAATTCTGGCTATCAACAATAAAATCTCATTTGGTGGCTACGATCTATAACGTGGTGGGGGCTAAGTCATGGGATTGTCAAGTTGGCAAGGCAAGTGGGACTGCTAAGCAGCACATGGGACTCATGCTGAATTAAGTGTCACTAGTGAGACGAAATCAATTGTCTCTTGGAATTAGAAGGTAGAGGTGGGAAAAAAATAGTGGTCGAAGGAATAAGTCATGACAAAAGCAAAGAGAATGTTTCTCTCATCTAACGCATCTTCTGGAGTCTTACTCTCGTGTACCAATATTTTTCTTTTGAAGAAATAACCAACACTCCATTTTGGTGCTCAACAGTGTTATGTGACCTATCAACTCTCGTCCTCCAAAAACATGAACCATTTGTACTCTTTCATGATGCCCTAATTCAACCAAGCCGTCTAATTTATAGGGCCTCTAAGATCATCAACATAACATTTTGCCTAACGAACGATTCACTATAAACATGGGTGGTGCTAATAATGCACGCAAATAATGGCTGTATATGACAAACTACTTTGTAATATGTGCCTGGATTGGCAGAAACACGTGATCATGCTCGTTGCTGCTAATTCAAACAAAGGAATCTACAAGGGGAAACCAGCTCATTGACGACCCATCAAAATCTTGCCAGCCACTTCAAACAACTATAACACAAGGTCACACCAGCTCCAAAGTAAAACAAGGAACATACATACCAATCTTGTGAATAACTTCATGCCAGACTACAGTTTGAAGTGTGGCAGAGGAGTCAAACACCTTGTAGTCACAAAGGGCATCGGAGGCCCGGTGCTCGGCTTTCTTCGCCATTCATGGCTGGATGCTAGGCAAGTTGAGTTCCTGACATAGCTGCTTGAATGCTGGATTTCTGTCACGGTTCTTTGAAGTCTGGAGTGGAGTGTACGCTCTGGTTGTGATCCCAAGCTGGCAGCTGGTCTGGGTGCGGGGGCGGTGTGAATTTCTACATCACCCTTGCAGCGACTGCGTAGTGAGTGGCTGGTGACGACCATACATGGCGCTTTAGGTCTCAGATCTTTTGTATCCCATGCTGTTGAAACTAGGTCCATGTTAGTGGAATGGTTCGTTTCCTTTTTTTTCTGCATCGCTGTTGAATGTTGACGTTGGTTTGTAATATTTACAATTCGAGCATATTACCATTTCCTTCTTAATGAAAATGTCATGCTTCAACAAAAAATTGTGCTACATTTGGATCGCAATAAGCTTCATCAAAACTAACACCTTGATTTTCTGTACAAGAGCACCACATCAGTAATCAGACAAGCTAGTAATTAAAGCTTCATCTTCTACAAGCTTCTATTCTGAGTTCTGTCTTAAATTTTTTTACAAAAAAACATCTGCTTAATTCGTGATGACCAGAGTACAAATAGACGAGGCTAATATTCATTGGCAAGTTGTGTGAAACTCTGGCTTGCTGCTGAAAGAAAACAATGTTGCAATTCAGATTACCTTTTGTGGCTACATGAATGTAAGACTTGTCATTTTTTTAAGAGTGTCCCCCAAATAGAGTAAGAATGCAATCTTAGGAGCATCTTTCTGAACGTAACCATCCTATATACAACTGTGTATTCCACTAAAGCAAAAGAGTTCTTTTCTGAAAGAGGAAGGATCCCAGCAAGAAAGCTGAAAAGCAAATGAGAAGATCCATAGCAAGAAACGTAAATACGTGATCAAACAATATCAACAAGTTCCAGGTTGGAAGACAAGTCCAACAAATCTTTCTTGTTCAGCATACAGGATTAACACCCAACCAAACTATTCACTGAACGAGTACAATATAATTCGATATATTTTTGTATTTGATTACATGGACGCCATACTTAGTGGCTAGCTAAATCATAAAAGCACCAGTTGACAGGGCATGTGCAAGACTAGGCAAAACTCCACGACGAGCAAAGATGAAAAGGTTCACTCGCTGACACCATACACCAAACTGGGGAGCACCCAGAAGCTCTCCAACTGCTTGCTTTTCCATCCGAGAATATATGTAATGGGGTGGGAACTCGTAGGCACGAACTGACCAAGCTCTACCTCAATCCAAGGTTCGTCGGAATTTTTGGACCCACTCGGAATGTAAATGCAGCTACTCTTCCCGCCCCATCGTTCAGGGTTCATGCAAGAAAATGTAGAACTCCTGGTATCCAGGCTAATAAAGAGAGCCCAATTTTCCAACTTATCCAACTTCATCCACTTAGCGGGTTCTGTTAAGTCGAGGCGGTAGGCTTGAAAGCAGAATTCGTGAACACGTATGCAGAGGTCAACCATGAGAAGCATGTCACCACAGACCACCAACCATGGTTTGACCATGTCCTGTCCGCACACTACAACTGGCACTTCCGACATGCCAAGCTGAGGTGCCAAAGAAATGATATTGAGCTTCTGAAGGGAGTCCATGGCAAACATCTTACCTTTGAAGGGCACAATTTGATGAATGCGGCGTTCAGCAATAAGAGGGTGTTCTGTCCAGGAGTTTGCTCCAAGTTGCCACTGGAACATAGAATTTCTCGAGAAAAGGAGGAGGTACGAGTTGGGCGAACTTAGCGGAGCTGTAAAGATGCCGTAGTAGATTTCAGAGTTGTCACTGTGTTGGAATTTGGGGGGCTTCATGATAGTACCAGTGTACACATCAACAAGGAAGCATTGCTCAAAACTGTAGAAGATAGCATACCCGTATGAGCAGCCCAAATAGTGCATATGGTATGGAGACTGTCGGAGTGCTGAACAACGAAGGGATAAGTTTGTCTTCGCAGGATCATGAAGCTGCCATTTAGTGTTGGATAAGGGGTAGTACGACGTATCGCCGTCCCCTATATGCCGATGAGCATTATGAAGATCTGTGTTGACAAAGAGAGGTGGGAAGGAGAAGTGATATATGGGCAGGAAAGAAGAAACTGTGGCACGCCAAGAGCGGCAGGTGCTAGTAACAGCAAGGAAGTCATGGAATGAGCAGAGGACAACGATTAGGTGAAGCAGGCTGTCCGTAACATCTTCCCAAACTTGTCGTTCAGATGAGTCTGAGACGTTTGAGCCGAAGCTGTGGCAAATTTTCTTAGACGGCTTCTCTATGACGGCCACTTCTCTGCCATACAGAAAAATCAAGAAAGATAGATCAGAATCAAGAAATCAAATATCACAGGGACATAACTAGTAAATGGTTAGAAATGCTAAAGGGAAAACCAAGATGCTCATCTCACCGAGCATCATTTTTTCTTTTCAGACAAGATGTATATCAAGTTATCAACATGCCACATTTCAATCACAATAAGGTACAGCAAAATAACCAACATGTTCATGTTCAGCACAACAGTATAATATAGGCATATTTCCAAATCATGCAGCAGGGGGTGATTCATAGTTTGAGAGCACCAGTATCCTTAAAACAATTATAGCATACCAAGTGACGACAGTATCATATTCACAAATAAAATTTTCGGTTTTGCTAAAGCACATCTGCCCTAAGTATTGCACCTCTAACAACGTGTTTGGTAGTCTTAGGGAAGGGGAAGGGGAATTAGTGGTGGGAGTTGGCTGTGGGGTTTAGACGTGGGAAATAGATTTTTAGTCTCACTCCCTTGTTTGGTGATTGAAGGGACTTTTTCGTGGGAATTTGACAGAAAAACTAACTAAGAAATGGGCCCACCGGTTAAACTCCATCCATACACATGCGGAACGCGAGCAATGACCATGCCAACAGGTTTTTTTCTCTCATTTCCCATTCCCTCCCTCAATTACCAGCCCCCACCAGGTAAGAAATAAGGGGGAGTTTGACTCGTAACTCCCTTTCCTCTTCCCTCATTAATTCCCATGTCCTCCAATCAAACAAGGGACTTTAAGTGCTGCACCCACCTACTTACCATTCCCTAATGCCAATTACCCCGAAACAAACAGGCTGTAAGTCCTTTTTCTCATCCTTTTTATGCAATCTTTTCATATCATAAATTTATTTTGGGTAACTAGCTATCCTAATCCCCAGGTGTTATGCGACTGAGAACACAAACCATCATGCCAAAATTCTTTTGGGTTAGATTAACACTAGGCCCATAGTTACACAATTTCATGGCCGCATCCGCATGTTGTTGCAACCTGATCAAACCAACACGGCGCATGTTCTTGCAGGATTGATCCACCTCACCACAACCATTAGACAAACTTGCATCACGAAGAGAAGAAAACAGGGTTAAGGTTATACAGACCTAGGGGCGAGAGCGGCAGGTGCCGGCGGCGGCGAGAGCTCGGTCTCCGGTGGCTCCGGGCTTCCGACCAAGAACCCGGCAACCAAGTCCGTATCTACTCCTTCCGCCGCACCGTGTTTGCCCATCGGATGCGTCGGCGACGAAGGGGCGGAAAAGGAATTGGCGGCGCGGAGATGATCGATGGATTATTTGGGTGGAACGAACCTGCTGCCCGGCTTTATATTTGGCTGGAACGAACGTGCTCGGCCCGGCCCATCCCAGCCCAGTTTACCCATGTGCTTCGAGTACTCGCCTCGTTTCTAAATATAAGTCTTTTTTGAGCTTCTAAAAAAGATCTTTTTAGAGATTTTAATACGGACTACATACGGATATATATATATGCATTTTAGATTGTATACTTACTCATTTTGCTCTGTATGTAGTCCATATTGAAATATTTAAATGACTTATATTTAGAAACAAACGGAGTACCAAAGTACTCCCTTCGTCCGAAAATACTTGTAATCAAAATGGATAAAAAAGAGATGTATCTGGAACTAAAATACGTCTAGATACATCTCCTTTTATCCATTTTGATGACAAGTATTTTCGGACGGACAGTTAAGCCCAAAAGATATTTTTCTCCTAGGAAATTTGTTCTGACCCCCCCTATAAAAAGGAATTTGTTCTGAGGATTAATGCAAATTTTGTGTTAAATTATCTGAAAAAAGATGGAGTGGCGATTTCCTTTTCTTGTTTATTATTACATAAAGATGTCTGTGGCAGCCACACCCTTTAATTAAGAACGTGTAGCCTTGGAAAATTGATGCAAACCACATAGTTCCACGGATCTTGCTCGACATACAGCTTCTCCATCATAAGGAAATTTCAACAACAGCGGATCAGATTGATGTATGTCAGCAATGCTACATCACAATCACAATAGTAAGCTATATCAAACAACCAACAACCAGCATAAGAGAAGTTTAAAAAAAAAAAAGCATAAGAGTACACTGGTAAAGCTTCCCTTCCGAGCTCTATCCTTGAACCAATGTTCACGGCAGCGATAACTTGGCCAAAGCCGCTCTCTCACTCATGATGCACCCGTGGCGACGATGGATTATATATTCAGCACGTATGAAGTAGCATTTCATTTTTATAGAAACAGCTGCAGTTACACGTTTGCCCCGTAAGTTGCCGGGTCTCCAAGCGTGTCAACAGCATGCACAACAAAGCCTGACGTTAGTCCAGAAAATGGACGGTGCACAGCATTTGCTCATTGATGAAAACAAAAACTACTCCATTCGTCCCATAATGTAAGATGTTTTTTTGACACTACGTCTTACATTTTGGAACCGAGGGAGTAATATGCAAATGTCAACAAAACGGAAAAAATAGTCCCTCTGTACAACTTTAAATTCTCATGGAAAAAAAGAGAGATCATTTCGTAAAGAGCGATATTTTTTTTCCAGAGTGCCAGCAAAAAAAAAATACAAGGGTCCAATTGTTGCTGCTGGGAATGCGGAAGAGCGATGGCGACAACACTTGTGTGACTTGGATGGTAGTGCTGCGTGCACCCGGTCTCGAGCACTGGGGCGAAAGCCTAGGTCAGATCCGAGTGGTTATAACCGCCAATGGTGATGTTTTCTTACGTCGTTGCCTTTTTGGAGGCATTGCTCGGATATGCTCGGACTGATACTTCAGGGTGAAAACTTAAGATTCTAGCCTTTGTGGTTGGATCCAGTGACGGTGACGCTTGAGTGTCGCTCCCTTCCTGAAGGCATTGCGGTTGAAGATCCTCGTCATCAATGTGGTGTCAATGGTTTGTGCGGATATGGTCTCAGTTGTAGTTTGTCGATCACTGACCTGATTGTTTTGGGGCTTATGACTTTGCTAGCTGCTCGTTTGTTTCTACGTGTGTGTTGGGTTGGCTGTGTGTATCCTAGTTACGCAGAGGCCGGGTGAGTGCTCATTGTGTTATGTATCCTCTTGAGGCTCCACTTTGAGCCAATAAAATTCCCCCTTTGTTGAAAAGTAAAAAAAAAATACAGGTATTTTTTTGAAAAACAAATACATGTATAGTTTACTAGCAAAAGGTTTTCTATTCAAGACCACTAAACTTGTCTTCTGGTGCACCTGAAAAAAGTGGAGTCTTTACTGTACGTAGTGCATACAAATTGGCTAGTGGCTAGTGATGAATGCTCCAATTTTAGAGAGACTTCTACTAGTTCTCGACGTGATGGAACAAGAGAAGCATCGAACTTTATATGGCGTAGTGCAGCGCCACCAAAGGTTCAGGCATTTGCGTGGAGACTGGCTACTGATTCATTAGCAAATTGGACTAACAAAGTAAAAAGGAACTTGGAAGTTCTAGGAACATGCCCTGTATGTGGGATGGAGGACGAAGACTCATTTCATGTTTTTTGCACTTGTAATCATGCCGTCATCTTATGGAAGGCTATGGCGAAGGAATGGGTAATGCCTAGCGATTAAGCATGAAGAAGAACAAGTTAATATCATGATGCTCTTCTAGCGAATCTGGTATGTGCATAATGGAATAGTGCACACAAAACAACCACCACCCATTGAAGTTTCTGTGCGCGTCCTTGCCAGTTACCTGTCCTTCTTAATCTCCCTTCACGTGTGTTCAAATGTTGATCTAGTGAAAGGGAAGATAGCAACTAGAAATATTCAGAGACCGGTTCAGGTCACATGCAGTATTGAACAAGAGGTCTTCTCTTGGGCTGCACCAACTATTGGCAGAGCCAAACTCAACTCGGACGCTTCGGTCCTGAGTGCTACTGCAGGAGCCGGACCGATCCTAAGGGACCATGAGGGAGAAATAGTTTTCAGTGCTTGCAGATTCTTATATGCATGCGATGATGTTTTCGAAGCGGAGCTACTTGCAATAAGGGAAGCAATTTCTTTGGCCCTACAATGGAGTAGCTCACCAATAGACCTTGAGTCCGATCATTTAGAGGCTGTCAACATGATCAAGGGAGGTACCAACAACAAATCTAAAAATGCGATCATTATTAGAGATATCATTAGTAGTATGGGGGAGAGGAATTTTCGCATTGCTCATACTAGTAATATGGTTAGTCATGCCTTGGCAAATTTTGGTAGGATGCTAACGCCGAACTATGGTTTGGCTAGGCTCTGGTCCAGAACAAGTTTTGGCACTTGTGGGACAAGATGTAATTTCTCATTTCGTAGTAATGAAAGAGTTTATTCTGCAAAAAAGAAATACTTGCCTTCTGGTACAAGCTGCTAAAATACGGATGTGGAGTATATGAGCTCGAACTCAAATAAGCTTGGATGAACAGTAAAAAAATTGAAAATAAATTCAAAAAATTCTGAAACTTTTTTTTGGTAAACTTTGAAAAATATTATAAGTGCTTGCAAATTTTCATCATGAGATCACATGCATGGAAGGCGTGACAAAAAAAAAACAAAATCGATGCTCTGAAAATGCTACTTTCGAAAGCATTTTGAAGCATCTGAGCTCATATGTTCTTTGTGCACCAGATACTAACTTTCAACATATGCAAAAACCAGCCTCTACAATGCATACATCATCGGCCACTTCCTTCCTTTCACCAAACATCACGCACTCATAGGCCCACTCAGAAATGTTGTAATCGTTCAGGGCCCTCTTCAACTCCACGCTCCCCTTTACAGCTTATGAGCTAAAGGAGCATGATAGCGTAGTTGTACATGTCGACCTTCACATTAATCATTGTGTTCTTGCTCCGTTCTGGCACGAGATAGCGTCTCATGGCTCGGACACAAGTGAGTGTGTTGGTATGGTTCCTAATCAGTAGCTTTGCATGTCCAAAGTCAGCAATCTTGACTATCCCTGAACTGTCGATGAGTATTTTCCCCTGTTTGATGTCGCAGTGGATTATTGGGTTCTGTATCTCTTCATGCAGGTACTGCAGCCCCCTTGCGACATCTAATGCAATCGTAACGCTCTTTCCCTAGCTAGGCGGTACATCTGAGTTAAAGAGGAGGCTTGCAAGGGATCCTTTCGGTATATACTCGTACACAAGCAGACGGCACGTATCCTCAATACAGAAACCAAGCAAGCACAGCAGGTGTCGGTGGTGTGTTCTTGCTATTGTACGCACCTCCCGATGAAATTCTCTCACCCCTTCCTCAGCCATCTTCTCGGGCCTCTTCACAACAATCTCCTTGTTTACGTTGGCAAGGATACCCTTGACTACCATACCAAAAGCACCCCTACCAAGCACTTCGGCAAATCCAATTGTAGCCACATCTAGATCTCGAAAAGAATAGGATTGCATGCCGAGGTTGTCCCCATCAACCTTGTAGTCATCCAGTTTGGGCGCCCTTGTGTAACTCAAAGATCATTTATGTTCATAGATAAGAGGGTGTTTGTTTCCAGTGACTTATTGGCTTAGGGACTTAAAAAAGTCCCTATAAGTCTCATCTAAACCAAACAGGAGGGACTTATAGGGACTTAAAGTGGGCATTTAGGACTTATGAAATAAGACTCTCAAGGAGGGACTTATAGGGACTTATAGTTGTAATATGGTCTTATAGGAACTTATAAGTCCCAGGAACCAAACAGGTAAGGACTTTTTAGGGACTTGGGACTTATAAGTTGGGACTTAAAAAAGTCCTAGGACTTGTGAACCAAACAGGGCCTAAGAAGCACAGATCATGAGATCACAACCAGTGAGAATACGACCATGATACACAATCTTATCATCCACAGTATAGTGGTGATATATTTTATTTAAAACAAGGCAAAAGGCTTTCTGTTTTCAGAGAGTGAGAATTGACCGATTAACTAACGGAAAAACAGGGCTAAAAGCCTAAAATGGACACAACCCTACCCCATGACATGGGCACCACCGGCTGACCTGACCACTGACATGGAGACCATGAAGCTACAAAGAAGAAAAGAACATCTGTTGAGGAGTTGCAAGTGTCACCGTCATCTCCGGTTGGCACGCCGAGCAAGCAACTCCGGCTTAACCGTAAAGCAGCACCAATGAGGCCATCCGGCTGACAGTAGCACCAAAGCCATGGCAACCAATGCTAATAGATGACCACAGGCAGCAAACCCATGTGTAGGGTATCGATCTGCTCGGCATTAGATCACATGAGAGATTATTGTTGTTGAAGGGAAAACATTCTCCATTCCTAACATAAAGCGGTTTCATTACGTGCTGAAGGGTGCCGAGTCCTTCACGATCCTACTCTCAAATAACTTGAAGGTAGATGAAGGAAAATGAAAGTATGCAATAACAAACCAAGGGCTTCTTTGAATAACGTAGCACTAATTGTCTTGAGCAGCTAAGTTGATTGGTGGTCTGTTGTTCAAAGATGCCTTGGTCTGCTGTTGCATACCTTGTTTTCTCTTCATCTACCTCAGGAAATTTGAGAGCAGGACAGTGAAGAACTTCATACCTTGTTTTCTCTTCATCTACCTTCTTTTCTCTTCATCTAACGTAGCACCAATATGACTTCAGAAACGAAAACAATAATTAACAATACGCGGTGCTCACATTAGTGCTTAGTGGTGCTATTCAGCGACATGCATGCGTTGTGAAAAGCGACCTTTGCTGCCAGCACCAGCTAGAGGCAGGATGGAAGAGAAGGGCGCCATGTCTGCAAGGACCACGGCATGCCTTCTCCTCATCACCAATCTCAGGACTCCCTGATCTCTCTCCATTGAGCAGCAAGGGATAAGCTCGGTCAGATTACAAATCACTATGGCTGGCAGCCCGGTGTCACCAACTCACCATGGCTTCTCCAGATCGGATGCTTAGTTTGTATGGATTGGAAAGATCAGACTGTAGGTGTTACATGGCCTGGTGGAGAAGTTGGGCACATCGGTGGGTAAACGAAGTGAGGAAGACAACCGGATCCGATTGAAGTTGTAGCCGGAGAGGGCTGCGACCATGGGGTTGCCTTTCCAATGTCCATGTGGTCCCTTGGGTGACCATGAAGATCAACGCCCCGGGGTTGACTGGGTCGAAGTAGAAGGGACAGTCCAATGTTGAGGTGGCCGAGGGCATCGATCCCACCGACAGTTTTGTGGCGGCCGGGTTGGCCTGACATCCACCGGAAAAATCGGTGGGGAATCTATGGATGGGCCACGACGCTCGGGCGCATTTGATGGCACACACGCCCGCCGCTAGGACTCGTCGTCGTCCTTTCTGTAGGAGGCGGAGAAGGGGCCGCGGCCCGCGGAGCACGTATCCAGCATGACACTGTGTGGTCGAGGAACATGAGACCAGGATGGAGCCGTCACCAGATCAACGACGGTGCCACACGTCGGGTGAGGAGAGAAGCCTCCGCCTGCTGCAGTGCAAGGAGGATTTGTTGGTGCTCATGACGGACTAGAACGCGACCACTGGAGAGATGCCACGGCCAGGCCTGCGAGGGAAAGAAGAGATATTGTCCCTGGTGATCCGGTAGATAGGAAGATAATATGGACAACAATTGATAAAAGAGAACCCCTACCGCGCACTTCGGCAAATCCAATTGTAGCCACATCTAGATCTCGAAAAGAATAGGATTGCATGCCGAGGCTGTCCCCATCAACCTTGTAGTCATCCATTTGGGGCGCCCTTGTGTAAAGAACATTTATGTTCATAGATAAGAAGCACAGATCATGAGATTACAACCAGTGAGAATACGACCATGATACACAAACTTACCATCCACAGTATAGTGGTGATCTATTTTATTTAAACAAGGCAAAATGCTTCCTATTTTTGGAGAATGGACCGATTAACTAATGGAAAAACAGGGCTAAAAGCCTAAAATGGACGCAACCCAACCCCATGACTTGGGCACCACCGGCTGACCTGACCACTGACATGGATACCATGAAGCTACAAAGAAGAAAAGAACATCTGTTGAGGAGTTGCAAGTGTCATCGTCATCTCTGGTTGGCACGCCGAGCAAGCAACTCCGGCTTAACCGTAAAGCAGCACCAATGAGGCCATCCGGCTGACAGCAGCACCAAGGCCATGTCAACCCATGCTAATAGATGACCACATGCAGCAAACCCATGTGTAGGGTGTCAATCTACTCGGCATTAAATCACATGAGATATTATTGTTGTTGAAGGGAAAACATTCTCAATTCCTAACATAAAGTGGTTTCATTACGTGTTGAAGGGCGCCGATCCTACTCTCAAATAACTTGAAGGTAGATGAAGGAAACTGAAAGGATGCAACAACAAACCAAGGGCTTCTTTGAATAACGTAGCACTAATTGTCTTGAGCAGCTAAGTTGATTTGTGGTTTGTTGTTCAAAGATGCCTTGGTCCGCTGTTGCATACCTTGTTTTCTCTTCATCTACCTCAGGAAATTTGAGAGTAGGATAGTGAAGAACTTGAGGCCTGGCAAGTCTCTTCTTTCATTGCAGCAAAATCCTCTTGTGGTAGAAATGTGGATTATTTTCTTATGTTCTGAAGAGAGTCCCGACAGACTGAAATTCAAATTTTCCATCTTAGCTGTTTGTTGCTCGATATTTATGTCATGTTATGTTTTTCACACATTTTTTTGTTAATGTACTAAAGGGCATTAGCACCAAACTCATGGTCATGGTGTCATCCTACGACGCCACTCCCATTAGCGCCGACTCCCTGGCTGTGTATGAGGCAGACCGTGTGGCGCTGTTTGCGGAGGAGTGTGCCCATGAGGCATAATTGGCAGAACACATTCAGGCGAACCCGTAGCTCCTCACCGAGAACCGCTCGATCTTTGAGTCCGTCGAGGATGAGGGGAAGGCCAAAGTAATCCTCCATGTGATGGTCCGCCTCTGTGCCTAGCGCAACAGAAGTTTTTTTAGGAGCTAGCCAAGAAAGAAGCACGTCCCGAGGAGAGCGATGAGCTGGTGTCATCGAGTTCGCCGACCGTGCGTGCTGACGCGCTAGCTCCTCCAATTGGGGGGGGGGGGAGATCTCCACCTTCCCTGACCCCATGATGACCAACTTCACCGACTACCGCTCGGAGTAGAGTTCCATCCCCGGAGTAGTCAAGATAGATGGTTTGGCATTGATGTAGGGATGTAATTATGTAGTTGGTGTCAACTCTGATGACAAATTCTGACGCTTTTGCTTATATGAATCATGAATCCTTATGTTGCTTATGTTCCGTGCATGTGTTTTTCTAACACCGTGTTGACTGTTAACATTTTGTTATTCTTCCTTCTGTAGATCAAGTGGTCTATGGTGTACTAAGGTAGATATCTAGGAGTCTACAATTCATGGCAAGCATGCATGAACAAGTGAATCATTACAAAGGCAATTGCTACAAATAGTTTAATACTAGGGTGGAGACATAGGATGATTACTCCCAGTATTTGATCAAAGAGAAGAGGAATCACGAAGTAGGTAAGGGTGCTGGTCAGATCAGATTTAGTTGGAAGAACTTGACAATCTTCGTACAGTTCCTCCTAATTGTGGCATTGCTTGTTATGATGCTTTGTGTGGACCATGTAACATAAATTTGTCACATTGGGATTTAGTGACTACTTGCGACTTGTTATGATACTTGCATGGACATATATGATGCTTCTGTGAGCTTGATGGAGTGTTTGTGAATTGTCTATGACGTGGTACTGTGTGTGGTATAGTTTCTATATATACACATTTTGTCGCAGGACTAACGGAAAACAAATGTAAAAAACCAACTGATAGAAGCTTTCCCGGGTACTACATTCGGTAGAGATACTTTGTCGAGAACAAAGCTTGGCAAAGGTGCCACACCATTATGCTCTGGTTACTCACTGGAGGCTTTGCCGAATTGGTAATTGAGGATCCTGACAAAGCGAGTGCGTAGGGGTTTCGCTGTGGGTGAGTTTGCCGAGTATAAGCTCTACAAATTGCAAAACATGCCAATGTGTGTTTGCTGAGTCCCAGACAGTTGGTGCTCTGCGTACCGGCATGGCCACTTGTCGCCTCATGCTTGTCTTGCTTCGCTGAGTTCGGCTCTCCGGCTCTCGGCAAATACATGTGCCATGTGGCAACGGCAACCGCAGTTCGGTCTGTCAAGTGCCTTTTTTTTCTGCCGAGTACCCACTTAGATTTCGGTAACGAGTTTGGCAAGTCCCCATGGGTTGGTTCTTGGCAAAATATCCTTTGATTGAAGGGTTTAGGCCGATAACCCATAGCCGATATCTTTACTCAGAAAACTATATGCTGAGTGTTGCAGGCACTTAGGAAATATGGAAATTGCGGTAGTGACTCTAGTTTGTCCTGTATTGGACAAGGTACTTTCTGGGATCAATGAGAACCTTGGCATGTTTTTGAATGCCCATTTTTTCTTCTACTAGTCTATAAAGCAGGGCCACGAGGCATTTTTCCTTTACAAAAAACCTCTCTCTCAATGTGTCTCAGTAATCATCAATAAATGTGAAAAAAAGGACAATCAAGAAATGCAGATTTGTTATAATACTAGCAAACACAAATGATAAGAAAAGAAACGCAAAATGAAGGGAAATAATCATCACTGAGAAGTTCGATGCTTCCCTAGCGACACTGACATGCAGTGACCACGACCCTTTCCTGTTTTCTCAAGAATACATGGCGCTGATTCAAAGTCGTGCATATATGGATACAGTCATTAATTGTCCCATGCTGCACTAGTATCACACAGAAACAACCGGCCATCACAACCCAAACATAGATATATAGGGCAGAAATAAGAGAATGCTGGTAGGTACAAACATTTTCGGACTAATAAGTTCAGTACAAAAAACAACAATTGACCCAGAATGGTGACAAACTGAGCAATACTAGGCATACTAAGATAAAATGGCAGAGTGGTCTTGCTGCAATCTTGCATCAAGGTCGGTCCTCATATTCTCTCAGAAATGTAGGCCGCCAGCCTTCCAGCTGGCCTTCGTCCTCCAATTTCCATTTCTCCATGGCACCTTAGCTTTATCCGCACCAAGTAATCCACCGCGATCCATGCAAAGCTAAGCCTCACCGGCATTCCTTCTTCATCATCTGGATCCAATAAGGCCCTCGACTTCTCAGTCCATTTGGGGTGATACGTTACCTGGTACCACGCAGAGGCCTTCATTTCGTAGAACAGATTCTTCACATCGTCATCGGAGATCTCAACCTCATCTGATGTAAGGCTTTCAAAGACAGACCGATACTCCTTCTGGAACGCATTGTACGCATTCTTGACCCTGTCCTTTACATCCACTAGCTTTCTGCTGTTGTTCCTGGGAAGGGACCAGATGTGCCCTGTCACAAGTTCAGCTTCGGTGCGGACGCCATATTGATTAAGCAGTGAGTTCAGCTGCCTATCATATGAGCACTTGCACTGCCATGCACTCGCAAGGAAATCTGATGCACCGGCAACTTCTAGATCATTGTCATAAGGCAGATCATGTAGGGTCCAAGCTTCGTCAGAATCCCAATTGCCACCAGAATCTTCTTGGATTGACCTATAAAGTCTTCCAAGAATCTTCTCGGATTTATATGATTTTGAATCTTCCTTTAACAGAAAGTCAGGGTAGATTTTTGGTCGAAGATACGATGGCATGGCCACAAATTTGCCTGTTTTGGGGAAGTCTACAGCAGTTGCTGCTAGTTCAGCTAAGTGAATGCACTTCTCATCCATAGCTCCAAAATCACTAAGATCAGCATGAACAACATGAGCATTGGAGATCATACCAAGATTGTCACTCACCATGTTCTCCAAGAAGAAACCAACTGTGTCCTGTTAGAAATATAATATGTTAATCTACTAATGCAACGAATAACTACAAAAGGTATTTATCCACAAAATAAGGACACCATATGCAGAAACTAGACGAAATTCAGATACAAGTCATGTGAGTAATGATTTTGGCACCCAGGAACCTCCCAAGTTTGACTACTCCTGAACAAAAATTAATAAACTGGGCATTGTAAAAACAAAAACAGAAAAATTAACATCATACACCTAATCAGAAAAATTAACATCGGACACGTAAACATTGCAACAATCTGCACACTTGCAATTTTTGGATGGAAACACTATGAACCACGTCTATGCGGACATTTATATCCAAATAAGGTAATCTACTTGAGAAATGATGAGAGAAGTTCGGTGTTTAATTATCTGGTATGCAAGAGTTCTAGCCTTAATACTAAATGGTAGGACTTGTCAACTCATGTTTCATTTCAGCCAATGAAAATATTCTGGTAGGTGACAACATTCAGCACCCAATCAAAAAGAACGATTGCCAAGATGCTGATAAACTTTTGCTGAGCTTATACTTTGATCAGACTCCTAAAACTATATTTGAACAGGCATGTGGTTAAGGTTGACATTAATTAAACCATGAATTGAACATGCACGGTACGAGTTTGGTACATGCATGGATAACGGCACAGGAAATAACAAATATTAAGAGCAATGAAGATATCATATAACACACATATCTAAGGGGAAAATGTCATGGGTTTCACTACTTACATGTTGAGATACTTCACGTGGTAGTAATTTCACTTCCGGTGGGGAGTAATCCATCGGTTTCCAGCTCTTTTTTCTCGGAGGTATAAGTTTGTCATCCCATGTGACGAAGTATATATCACCATCAAGATCACTCCCTGATGCTTCATCTGGATGTGGCCTCTCGCCATTTTGTGGAAAGACCAAACAATCAACCATGTGGCGCAGCTCAGGCACATCGACTGCTTCGAGTATCCGGACGTCCCCTGGATGATAGCATGGGTTCTTTGCAACTACTACAGTGCCAACAATGATCTTTGTACCATGCTTGACCAAACATGGATCGAGCAACGGAGCCGAGGCACGGATGAAGCACTGTCCATATTTGAGGATCCCAAGCTCGTCGAGGCAGCCAATCAACCACCTGCCTTTTGGCACGAAGATCCTTGTTTTCTCCAGAAGATCATGAAGTTGTGCAGATCTGATGGCCAAGAGCATGGCCCTCAAGTGTGGCTCAGTTCCGGGGCCAAAGCCGGCACTCAGCATCAGTGCCGCCGTGTTTGCATTCTCAGGACTACATGACCTCCTTGTTATCTCAAAGGCTGCGTCGCTGTCAGTCAAGATCTTTTCAAGATTACCCACCATGCTCTCCTGCATCCGCCAAAAGACGGCATCGGAGACGCCCAGCGACGAGAGAAGCACTATTATTTGGCGGTTCAAGAACCCTGGCTGGAACCTTGTCCAGGCAAGCACCTCTATCACCTTATGATCAGAGTCGAATTTCTTCATGCTCAGCCTCAAGGACAACCGTATCCCGTCTTCACTATCTCGCTGCCACACTGCTATGACGCCCTTGTAGCCACCAAACCTGATCTGGTAAGCAGATGGTGGAGTGTCGGCCGTGAGCTGCAGCCTCTTGGCGACCTCCATTGCAAGTTCCGGCGCAATCTTGCCGATTCCGTCCGAGAAAGTGTAGCCATTTCGCTCAATGTCCTCGAGATTCTCGTTCACCTCATGCGGCTGAACCGTGACAGTGGCATATGATGATGAGAAACACTGCCCCATCCGAGCGGCGTGCTTGGCAACGTTTCTGCATGTGAACTGTCCCATCCACTGCCTGATGATCTCCACCGTCGTGTTGCCATCCTCGGCGAAGAACCACGCAGATCTATCCCTCAGCTGGTTCGGCCAGAAGGCGAGCAGGGAGTACTTTCTTCCATACATGTGGAACCCTGATGTCATGACCGTCCTGACCCGCATGTTCACAGTGGTCTTCTGCTTAAATGATTGTGACATCAACTCCTGGAGGATCGGCGCCGCGTAAAAGTTTAGTGTGTTGTTGTTGAGTGACTGCATTGCCTCGTCCATGAATGTTACTCTCAGGAACCGATCGGCCACATGATGGTAATGCCGTAGCAGTCGGTTGGAAAGCTCTTCTTCTGGTGGCAAGCAGTAGGCCCTGCTGGGCGTGATCACCAGACGCCGCACCTCGACAGTCTGATTGTGACTCCTGTCCTTCCCACACCGCAGAAGTTTAGGGCTAACTCTGTCTAGGGCTTTCGTTAGCCTCTGGCATGCATCGAACACTGGCAGCTTATCCCCCCAGAAATCCTTCAACGCGGCCACATTGTCATGGTCGTCTCTTTCCCTCAGCAAGCCGAGGAACTCCGGCGTGAGCTGGTCCTGGTTGATGATCCCCTTGTGCACCAATGCATTCACGAGGAAAAAAACCGGGAACGTGAGGCCCTCGGCCTTCTGTACGCAGAAGAAGAGTTGCTGCTGCTGCATTGGCTCCTGCATGACTGGAAGCTCGACACGTACATTGAGCCTCGGCACTGAGTACCATGAACGGAGTCCATGATCGCCACCCCTTGCTGCTCCAAGTACGCTAGTGCGCGGTCCATTTTCATCAATCTACGTGGCGAGATCTTGATCCTGTACACCCAGCACCGCCCGATGGCGCCGCTCGGCGTGAAGTCACTGGTCCGTATCCACGGGTCGTCGTCGTCCGGCATGTCAAACGGCACCGCCGCATGGATGTCATCGCCGTCTGCCGTGCGGTAGTGCACCAGGGGCGAGGCCAGGGACGATTCTAAGGGGGGACGAGGGGGGGCGAGACCCCCCCTAACGATCTCGTTACCCCTAATAGCGATAGGTACCACGTATAATTTTTC